CGGCACGAGAAGTGCAAAAACGCATAATCGCACCGGCCCGCCTGGTGCGTTCCAGCCTGGGTTTAGTTTTTGTAGCACTGGTGCCTGTGTCCCTACGGGGGAGGGGGCCAAAAATCCATCACCTTCTCTTCCCCTCCCCCTCCTTTAGATCCGCCTGTGATAGTGTCTAACTCTTCTACTATAAGCAGCACACTTTTCTTATATCTGATAGCTTTTTATCAGTACCTATCACACCTACTCAACCACCATGGCTCGGAAGTGCCAACGTTAGTGACGAGGCGCTTTCCTAAGCACTGCGCCTCGTCACTAACGTTGGCACTTCCGGGCCATGATGCTCGACTAGGTGTGATAGGTACTGATAAAAAACTGTCAGATATAAGAAAAGCATACCAGGCGCATCTTGGAACAACGGCTAATGCTTTCGTTGAGAGAACCTTCAGGAGATGAAAGGAATGTTACGATCACCAATGGACTGGCCATCAGGTGATGCAGAAGTGGTCAAAGCAACTATAACAGAATTACCGGCAAAAAAAACCGGAGAACGATACCATGAATTAAGAGCTTTTCCAGGTATTTCCAAGAACTGTTAATACGTCTTTTTCGCAAGACACAGAGAATGTAACAGGACAATGAAACAACTAATTAAAGTATTAAAAAACAAAACTTTTACGGAGAAGCCAAAGATTATGGTACCTCATAAAATGAAGTGTTTGAATTCGAGTCAACACTGCACTGAGTATTGCAATTTAACGGACATTGACATGGACATTCGCATTCGGTATCATCAAAACGTGTACAAAGCAAACAACGACGATCGCTTACTGAACAGGGGCAAAACGCCTAAAATAATAATACAAGGATAAAAAGATCGAGTCGATTACGCAGTTGATGTCAGAATAAAATCTTTCCGGAATAAAATGTCGGAATAAAATCTTTCACTACATGAAGCGAAAACATTCGGAAGTAGCCCGAGTGGTAGCAAATGCCAAAAGTAATCAAATGCCGGCAAGGTTATCGATGGAAGTAGAACCACCAATTTCTCTACGATTTGTTCAGCAAGAACGTTTACGACTTATTGGATTGAAACATTCCTATTCATACAAATTTTTAATATAATTATTTTTTCAATATATACCATAAGTAATACCTCTACGGTTCGTTCAGTTCAATGGTATTACCACAGTTGTCGTATTGACGAGGTCCAATTGTGGTAATGGTAAAAACTGTATACGACTTAATGGACCGAAACATTTCTTATCATTATAATAATTTTATTAAAATAATTTTCCTACTTTTACTAACTTCTTAATGTTATTTTCCCTCCCATTTCTCTTCCTATTTCAAAATACCTTTCCATTATACTGACGTATGCTGGGTACACAAGTGTACCACAAGCTATGTAGAATTTGAAATTTTTTTTTTGGAAGCAAACCTGAACTGGGTGTTGCGGCACACAACTTTCATTGATAAGAGCAAGAAATAAATTTGTCTGAGGCACAGGAATAACTTCGGCACGAATACTTCCAAGCTTTGAATCGCTCCCAGAACTGCCACCGGCTTCATCGCATGATATCTGGAAGTGTTTTTTTTATTTTTTAAATTCAAAAATTTTTTTAAATTTATTTTTTAAATACCTTTATAACACTTATCAATGCATGCTGATGAGCAAAAATTAAAAGCTATCGGGTCAAAAATAACTTATCAGTTCTTAACGCCCTAAAAATCTGAAGGTAAAAAATTCCATTCAATAAGTAATAAACAAAAAAACGACTATAACAAAAAAAAATTTACGGCCCAAGAAAAAAATCATCTTTATCTGCATAATAAATCCAAGAACTACTGGCATAATTTTCTTTGTTTTTCATCTTTTCCCTTTTCCACCTGCTTATTATGCGTTTTGTGCTGTGTAACAGCAGTACAAAACGCATATTGTTACGGGGTTGTCTGT